CCACCCGTAACTGATGTTTACTGCTCTCTGTCTTTTCATGGACGCTTCTTTTTTAAATTTGTTTCAGAATATTATGGGGGTACAAATGTTTTGATTACATGGATTGCTTTTATATTGTTTGAGTCAAAGCTGTAAGTGTGCCCATCGCCCAGACAGTGTGCAGTGTACTGTTAGGTGTGATTTCACCCATCGCCACACGCACGGTTTCCATTGAGTTTTGCTACATGGATATTTCTATAATCGCATTCACTGTCTAAGGTTCATTCTCTAGTAGTCCTCAGGAAGGGCTCAGGGGAATAATATTCTGTGGTCTTGCGTGTTCACAACAGTTTGTTTGTGTCATCTACTCTTTAAAGTCAGTTTTGCTAGATATAAAATCTTTGGCTCACATTTTTTTTTTTTTTGACTCATTTGATCATGTTATTCCATTTTCTTTTGGCAAAAAAAGTGTTTCTGTTGAAAAGACTAATGGTAATCTAATTATTTCCTTTATATGTCATTTGCTGTTTTTGCCTAGATACCCAAATGATTTTTTCTTTTCCTTTAAAACCCAGTAGTTTACCAAAAATATGTCTTTTAGTACTGGCCATTTGGACTGACGTTCTCAGCTTCACAATGTGCTCTTTCAATATGCTGTTCTAAATCTTTTTTTTATTATTTCATGAACATTTTCTTAAATTATACTTTTAAGTATTTGTGCAGTTCCCTCGGCTTTTTATTCTCCCCTTCAGGAATTCTTATTATCTGTATGTTGGATATTCCTTGCCTATCATCAATATTTGTACTTTTTCTCAATGTCATATTATCTTTCTTCATTTATTTTGACATGAAAAAGTTTCTTCCATAAGGCATTTTCTGTTATGTTTATCTCTTTCTGTGTTCCCTCTAGTTCAATCTTCATTTCCAAAAGAATTCTTTTATTTTCAATTCTTTCCTAAGTTCTGTCATCTCATCTCTGAGATTTTTCTATTTCCAATTTATGTTGCTCGTGTCTTACTGTATGATCTTAGTGTCTCTCAGCTCATTTGGAAGTACACAGTTATAGCTTCCATCCGTTTTGTGGCATGCCTTTCTGGTATGCTTTCATTGTCTATAGGGTTTCTCTCCTCTTTTTTTCTTACAATAACTTTGAAAAATACTTGACGTCAATAATTTCCTGTTGCTTATTTTTATGTAAAATTCGTTTTCCTGAACTTACCTTTTCTAACTTCACACAGCTCTCTTTTAGTTTGTTTTCATGTGTTGTTCAAAAACATGGCAGTTGCTTTTTAAGATTTCTAATATACATACATACATGTACACACACTTTTATTTAGACCTTCTTTTTCCTTTGCCGTAACTGTCCCCATCCTGATCATTTTTATTCCACTCCCATACTGAATATCTTTTGGGTATGGAGCCTCATCCTAGAAGGGAGCCCTGGCTGGTTGATTTCAAGAGATTATAGCGGCTACCTGCAGATTCCTTCTACCCACCCGTTATTTGAATAGTCAAAATCCCTACCAATTTCAGCTGCTGTTCTCACACTGACCCACTGAACTTTCCAGTAAACACCTGCTGGCAAGTTGGGGTTCTCTGATTCTCAAGTCTGTCAAATGCCCCAGTGCTTATTCTGCTTTCTCCCCAAGATCTGATACAGGTCTTGGGGTTATTAGTGCTATGTCTCCAGCCACTTATATTTTGGGGTTGATGGGGATAACTTGTCACCTAGTTTTATTGTGAATATTGTTCATGGGTTTCAGGGTTTGCTATTTAGTTGTTCTCAATGCTGGGGTTTTTTGAGGGGGAGGCAGAGATTAAGAGAGAATAAAAAACCATGCTGTCACTATCATCTTCCCAGAATCACTTTAATGATTCTTTTAATGGACTTTCGTATCTGAGTTTTTTCTTTCCTTCATTTTATTACACAGGAAACTGAAATGCCAGGTGGTCTGGCTCAACTCTGACCCCTAGCAACTCCAATGCTTCCCCAGAGACCAAATACTCCAGGGGACCTGGTTTTACATGTATGCTAAAGACACACTGGCTCCAACAGGGGTAGCCAAAGTTCTAGCACTGTACCCTCAAAGCATTCACTATCTTTCCCTACAGTGTTTCCAGCCTCAGAAAACTGATGTGGAGCAGGCCAAGCAATGCTCTAGGCTAAGGCTAGGAAACCAAGCTCAGAGTTTCACCAAGGAGTCCTGTTAGGCAATACTCTTCTGTGATGCAGCCTAACTCTCTGCCATTCCACTTGGTCAACAGCTATAAAGGGATTTTTAAGATTCATTGTTGCTTCATTCCTTTTGGGAAGCTAAAAAACAAAACTCTTAAAAATGCAACTGGCAAACATGCACAAACAATATGGAAGCTAGGCCATCAGCCTGCAGGGTCTAGGAAGTCTTCTAAAGGAGAGGCAATACCGCTTTGTGACTGAGAGTACAGACTCTAATGGTGCCCTGTCCCATTCAGTGGCCACTAGCCACATGTGGCCACCGAGCACTTAAAGTGTTGCTATTACTACGAGCATAAAATACACAGTGGATTTTGAAGACTCAGTTTGAAAAAAAAGAATATAAAGTATCTCATTAATTTTATGTTGCTTACATGCTGAAATGATAATTTTTTAGATATCTAGAATCAAATAAAATATATTATTAAAATTAATTTCACCTATTTTTTTAAACGTGGCTACTAAAAAATTTATAATTGCATATGTGGCTTGTATTATATTTCTCATAGATAGTGCAGGTCTGGAGTGTCAGACAGCCCTGGTTTTAAATCCCAGCTGTGCCACTTACTGTCTGCGTAAAGAGGTGACTCTCCTCTCTAAGTGTTGACTTGCTCATTGGCAAATTGGAAATAATAATTATCTCATTTATAAGGCTGTTGTGAAAAGTAAATTAAACAATACATGTAAAACATTTAACATAAGACCTACACAAGGCCAGGTATGGTGGCTCACGCCTGTAATCCTAGCACTCTGGGAGGCCAAGGCCGGAGGATCGTTTGAGGTCAGGAGTTCGAGACCAGCCTCAGCAAGAGCAAGACCCCGTCTCTACTAAAAATAGAAAGAAATTAGCCATACAACTAAATATAGAAAAAATTAACCAGGCGTGGTGGCGTGCACCTGTAGTCCCAGCTACTCGGGAGGCTGAGGCAGGAGGATTGCTCGAGCTCAGGAGTTCGAGACCAGCCTGAGCAAGAGTGAGACCCCGTCTCTACTTAAAATAGAAAAAATGAGCTGGGCATGGTGATACGTGCCTGTAGTCCCAGCTACCTGGGAGGCTGAGGCAGAAGGATCGCTTGAGCCCAGGAGTTTGAGGTTGCTGTGAGATAGGCTGATGCCACGGCACTCTAGCCTGGGCAACAGAGTGAGACTCTGTCTCAAAAAAAAAAGAAAAGAAAAAAGACCTAGACAAAGTAGGTATTAAAAAATGGGAGCTGCTCCTATTACCTACTAGCATTATGATAATCAGGAAATGAGGCTTTCAGATATGGGGATCTGCCAATACCTGGCTATATGATCCATGTAAGACAATTAATCTCTTGGATCTTTAGTTTCTTTATCATAAAATTGGAATCTAATGATATGCCTCATCAGGTTGCAGTGAGGATTGAATTCTCTCAGTCAAGATGTATTTACTGAGTACCTACTATAAGCCAGGCATATTTGGAACAATGGGGGAAAAAGCAGTGAACAAGTCAGATAAAGTTCTATCCTTAGAGAGTTTATATTCCAGTGGAGGAGATATGCAATGCAAATTAATTATTATATAATGTTGGGTAGTAATAAAATTTATGAAGGGGAGAGGCAGTGATAGAGAGATGCTATGTTAGCTCAGTGAAAGTCCTCTCTAAGGACTGACATTTGAACAGAGACTGAACAGACAGCTGGAGAAGAGAAGAGCAAGGCAGGAGGATCTGGGTGGGTCTGGGGAAGAAAGAGGTAGCCAGTGGGGAGCTGGTGAGCAAGGGGGCCTGGGTGTAGGAGAAGAGGCTTGGCCAGACCACAGAGTGTGCTCGAGGCCACAGGAGGAACTCTGGGTCTCACTCTAGTAGGAGAGAGCCACTGCAGAGTTTGAAGCAGGTTTTAAAAGGATCCCTTGGACGCATGAAAGAGATGATGCGTGTGCCAGGCTCAGCATGGACTGGCACAAAGTAAATGTGGAAGCCAATGATGGCAGAGCAATGACGGGCGGCCCAGTTAGCTCCCACGGCACCCACAGGACATGAATCGTCTTATGCCAGGGGAATAGAGAAGAAGTGGGCATGGGTAGGAAACACTTCCATGGTTCCAGAGAGAAATACAGCCCTTGGGCAGCACTCCCAATCAGGCTTGAGGGCACCCCAGAGCCAATATGCTCCCTCTGCCCTCAAAGGGCAAAAGGAGGAAACCAAGTCATGGCAAAACAAGGAGCCAACCCTGCTCCACCACACGGACAGTCCCTTGGTCAGAACAGCAGCAACACACTGTTTGAAGAGAAAACAATTTTTTAAACTATAATTTTAAAAGTTGCCCAAATAATATTGTCTATCATTGTACAAAATGATCATTGCAAAAATGTGGGAAATACAAATAAACAAAAAGAAGAAAAATCAAATGCCAGTTACCTGGAATCTACAACCAGAAACTATAGTAAATAATGTTTGCCTATATAGATCCAGATATTTATGAATATGTAAACATCAAATCTAAACATTATGCAAACATATGTGTGTGTTGTGCATGAATTTTTAAAATGGTATATTCTCTGTAAATTGTGCTATAGTCTGCTTCTTCCACTGTTCATATGTACATATTGGGTATGCCTTTCAAGGTGGTTAGTTTCTAGACTGACAGCGCCCTTTTTAATGCTGCATAGTATTTCATAATGGATGTACCATACTTTACTCAACACTCCCCTCTTGTTGGGTAGATCAGGTGTTTCCAAGTTGAGCAAAAGGCCCAGAGGATGACCCCCCGCCCCCCCCCGCAAAGCATGGTGCCCAGCAGCCCATGCCAGCTCTGTGTCACTTACAGCAAACTCCTCTGGGGTCACTTTCAAGACGTCGAAGACAACGGCGTCGTAGCTCTTGCTGGCATAGTCGCAGCTCTGGCCCTCCAGAGAGTCCGAGCTGCTGCTGCCCTGTGGAGAGTGATGACAGATGGTGCCCACTGAGTGAGTGGCTTGAGATCACTGCTCCCAAACCTCCGCCGGAGCTGAGGATGGGAGAGCGACAGAACTGTACAATGAAGAAAGTGTCACGTTTAGCACTCTACTCCATTCCAGGCATTGTGTTAAGCACTTCATGTGCATGATCTTATTTAATTCTCATGAGTGCCACTATGAGTACATACTATTATTATTCCTATTTTACAGATAAGGAAGTAGAGGCAAAGTTACTTCTCCAAGATACCTTAGCTACGAAACTAAAAGCAAGAACGTGAACCTTGTTTTGTATCTAACTGACCCCAAAACACATACCTGCAATTGCTAAACCCTAACTGTTCTGGCCAGCAGTTTAGCAATGGGTTAAAAAATTACAGCCCAAACTTCCTTCAGAGAGAACAGGCCTTCATATCGTAGGATGCCTGAGGAAATAATCTGTTTCATATGTCTCTCAAAACATTACCTGGTTTCACCTTTTTTTCCTACTTGAAGTCACTGCAGGAAATTGTTACGTAAAATGTAAAAATGGCTCTTGAGGCTTATTTCTTGTATGGGCCACTTGGAATTCAAAGCCTACTAGCTGATGAGCTGAGAGGTAACCAATTGGCTTTGGAGACTGGTGTGAAAGTTATTTTAGTAGAGTCCCTGTGTTAAGAACACTCTGAGTCCTGCCTATAAAAAAAGGGTCTCCCATAAAAAAGCAAGTTAAAACTCCCCAAATGTGTCTGATTTCACAAAACCCAACACTATAGGGATCCCAGAATGTTGAACATACCTTCTCTTTAATTTTATTTAATTTCATCGGACTCTACTTTTGGGAATCAATCAAGCTTACCACCCAAAAATTGTGCCCTGTTCATAAAATGGTTTTATTCTTCTCAACCCATGAAGAAGGATTTTGTGGTTTCCATTAACCTCAATATCTTGGCCTGGGATTTAGAGAATATGCTTTTATTAATTCTTCTTTTATTTCACTCTTTCCAAAATGGCTATATCTGGAAAAACTTTGCAATCTTACTGGAAACTAGAGTGTTTTTAAGCCAGTGAGGGAAACCAATAGTCAACAACTGGAAATGTGAGGTTAAAAAGAGAAGCAGGAATTAAACCTGTAGATTTCAATAGGCCTGTGTCATTAAAAGGTTTTACAAATGAGTCCACTATACCAAAACCCTAAGATGATCTTAAGAAGCAGTACACCGCAGTGGTTAAGAGCTCTGAAGTCAGACAGGCCTGGTTAAAATGCCAACTCCACACCAGCTGCTACCTGACCTCACACAAGTTCATTTTACTGGATCTCAGTTATCATCTAGAAATGGTAATATTAAAACCTACTTTCCAGGGTTGCAGTACAGGTTATATAAAGTGAAGCTGAGAAAGCAAATGGCATGATACCGTTCCGCCACCCAACCCCAGGGGATGCTGGTTCAAAGGGATGGGGGTGAGCTCAGGCGTGGCCATTTTAAAAGTTCCACAGGTGATAGGACACTCTCCCCTGAGGATGTTAGAATGAACTTCTGAAAAGTCATAAAGCTTATTCCTCAATGCTTCTGAAATTGGCAGTCTATTCCATCTCCCAGTCTCACAGATAGAGGCTGAGCAGTTATCTACAAATCATTCTGCACCTCTACACCCACCTTCCAGGAAGCAGGCTAAATCAGGGTGACAAGGCCGATTTTCTTTAGGACTGCACAGTGTCATGGTTAGGAGTACCAACGCGAGAGTCAGAGAGGCCTGGCTTTGAATCCCCATCCACCTAGAAGCTGTGTGATTTGAAGCCGGTTTGTCCACTTCTCTATAGCTTAGCTTCCTCATCTATAAACTGGAGATAAGCCTAACACATACCTGAAGGGGCACTGTGAGGATTAAGTGAAAGAATGCCTGTGGAACATGCAAAAGAGTGCCTGGTATACAGTGAGCACCAAATTATGGGTGTGTACGGCTGTAAATGTGTCACTCAGTTACCAAAATTTATTGAGCACTTCAATTATACACATACTCATTTGTTGATTCATTTGACAAATATTTATTGAGTACTTACCGTGTACTGGATACACATATATGCACACGGACACAGTATATACGAGTGTGTGCACATATTTGTATATACACATACATACACACACTCATATACATACACACAGACCAGAGAAGAAAGAAGTGTAAATTATAGATGGAAATAGAAGTCTGATTCCTCTAGCTACCAAACAGAGTTCATTCCTGGGATTTCAGGTATCGTAAGTTTCCTGTAATGCCACATTATACCTGCCCAAACACACACACTCATATGAGGGGACTTGTTTAATCAAAAGGTGCACCAAATACACTCGCGGGTGCTGATGATAACAGTAACAATAATGCTACCGCTGCAGCAGCGAGTCTACTTAGCCCTATGTTGCACCATTAGGGAATTTTAAGAGGACCCACAAGTCCAATTTCACGACCAGAAATCAAAATAAGGAATTTTTTTGGAAGGTTTACAAGAAATGAACTGGTTCATTTCTTTCTGGCTGGTTACCCAGGGTCATTTCAAAAGCCCGGTTTGACGATGAAGGCCTTGTGAGGCCGAACCCTGATGCTGCCCCGCCAGCTTATCAGAGGAGCAGGCGTGACGCATACAACACAGCGGCACCCTGGGCCTCAGGTGGCACGGCTCCTCCTGCCTGCCTCTGTGCCATTACTGAGCTGGGAAAGCAAACTCCCAAACCCCACGGCAGGGGCCCTGGCCCAGGCCACTCCAGACCACCAGTCCTTACAGCCATTTCCTACTGAGCAAGGTAAATAAGAACCCGGGGCCAGTTGGAATGACTTCTGTCTGACTTCATTCCAGAATGTGTGACTTATTTGTAATCAGCAGCGGCTTTTCCTGGGAAAGGTCTGATCCCTTCTTGCCACCAAAATGGAATGTGGCACTTGCTACAACTGGACTGGGCAGGTATTTGTTTTTCTTTGAAGAGAACGACTTCAGAAAACATACTGATCCTCAGGGCTGACTGCCTCCCAAATCTCACGCCTGGCGTGGCCAGGGGCCTTGGGAGTGCTAAGAATGGTGGCATTCACGAAGCCCTGCAGCCTTGCTGTCCCTGCCTCAGCTGGGGCTTGGGTCAGCTGAAAGGAACCCCCCCCAACCCCCACGCACTGTCTCGATCCTCGCAGCCCCTGTACCTGTGGAGTGGCGGAGGTGACCAACACGCTAGCCATCAGACCATTCCTCTTATACATAGTCTCCAGGCTGCAGGGAGCTTCAGGGCAGCCTCTACCGGTGACATAACCTGTCTGGAGAATTCCTGCAAGGCAAAGGGGCTCATGAGAACCAGCCTTCAAAACCCAACGTATCCCCACCCCCAGGAGACAATAATGCCAGACTTGAGCAGACATCCACAGGAGATCTTGAAAGAAAGGTCATAAGCTGGTGGCCTTCAGGTTAAATATGGCCCACAAATATAGGTTGCTGGGCTTGTATACAGTATTAATATTTTTAAAATTAATTACCAATATTTAAAAATTAGAAGATTTCATGTAGAATGCTGGATTTCTGACTTTTCTGGCAATACTGGGCCCATATTCCTGCATGACAACCATCAGCTGGGCGGAGCAGAGCCTGCCCTTCAGACTGGAGCAAGCGCCTTTCTCCCCACGTGGCCTGCGCAGCCGTTTCAGTGTTTGCCTGGCCCTTGCAGACACTAGAGTTTCTGGTCTTTGTTCTAAAACAAAGGTGGGGGGAAGAGGACAAACTGATTCTACCGTGTTCCTCTGGGCACCATATTGTCTCATCAATGACAACCTGCATAACAGTTAACCCCATATGGTACCCGCCATGTGCATGTGCTTGACATACATTAACTCAACATTTACCCTCCCAACAATCCTGAGGTAGGTCCTATTACACCTTATTACATGTGGGGAAGTTGAGGCACAGAGAGGCAAACACCTCATGCTTTGGTGGCTTGCTCATGCTGTCCCACCACCCCATCATGATTCAGGACCCTGCTCACATGGTGCTTCTGGTTCCCAGGCCTGGACCACCCAAAGCAGAACCAGCTGCTCTCTCACCACTGTGCACACACCTCTAGGAGAGTGTTCAGCACATCACTGAACACACGGAGCTGTGGCCACCAACAGCTTTTTAGCAGGAAGTGACCAGGAGAGGAGGGAGGTTTGCAGGGCAAGGGAAGGAGAAAGCAAAGACACCAGGCGCAAGAGAATGTGCTGAATGACTCCATTTTTAGGAAATATTCAGAAAAGGTAAATTTATAGAGACCAAATGCACATCAGTGTTGGACTGCCTGCTCGTGGACACAAAGGAGCTTCTGAGGGGATGGAAATATTCTAAACTGGACCGTGGGGGAAGTTACACAGCTCCAAAAATTCACTAGAGATGACAGAACTGAACAGTTCGAACGGGTAGATTTTAGGGTATATGAATTATATCACAATACGAGAAGCACCCTCAGCTCTGGTTTACAATGGGGATCTCCCTCCTCCCACATTCCCTTTAAAATAATCAAATAAAAATTAAAATACTCAAAACATTCTATTAGCACATGATAACAGAGAAGGGTGCTATTAATCAGCAAGCAAACACGAGGACTTCCCGGTGCAGAAGAGAGGGCATGAGAGGAGAGGGAGAGCCCTGGAGGAAAGGAGAGGCCTCCTGGGAACTGAGTGGATGGGACTCGCCAGCAGAAACCCCAGTGAAAAACCCAGAGACTTCAAAACGGGGAATCCCAAAACTGAGACTAAAAGTAAATCGAGCTCAAGAGTTCAAAGTCGGTGCAAGTCTGGGTCGAGTTGCCTGGGCTGTCTCAAACCAGATAACCAAACCGAACGGGCAGGAGGTCCAGGGCCAACTCAGCCAGTCTGTTCTAAGCCACAATAAACCAGCTAGATTGGATGGAACCTGGTCAGATCAGTTCAAACGAGATTAAAGTGACTCAATCCAGGCCTAACAGAGGGTCACCATGGGAGACTGAGTGGGAGACAGCCAGACTGATCCTCTTTAAGTGGATCCAACCTGCTTCAGTTCAGGCTGAAGTGGACTTGCTCCTTTCTGGGTGTGCCGGGAAGCCCAGACATGGAGCCCAATCAGCACAGCCTGGCCCCAACCAGAGGCCTTGCTCTCTCTACTTGCCTGATAACCACCAATGCTTGAGTCGCACAGCCCTCAACACCGTTCTCAGGCCCTCTCCCTCTTCCCATCTGAAGGATGCCACCAAGACCACTCATTTCCCTGGCACGGTTTAGAGGCACACTGAGGTGCCCCCCCACACACACACTAACAGCACTAACAGTGAGTGCAGACACAGCGCAAGGCAGGAGGCTAAGCATTCTTAGCTGATTTAACCTTCACAACAGCCCCATGAGGTAGAGACTATTTGGATTCCTGGGAAACTGAGGCACAGAGAGATAATGTGATGTACTGATAGTTAGTGGTAGGACTGGGGTGTTCAAACCCTGATCAGTCAATGCCAGGGCCTAGGCTCTTAACCATCCCTGACATTGGCTCCTGCAAGAGTCTAGGTGAGAACTAAATAAGGAAATGTATTTGGGTTTTGAAGTTTAGTTTTGTTTTGTTCTGTTTTGAGACAGGGTCTCTATAGCCCTGGCTGCAGTACAGTGATACACTGCTGCAGCCTCGAACTCCTGGGCTCAAGCGATCCTTCTGCTTCAGCCTCCCAAGTAGCTGGGACTACAGGCATGCACCGCCACACCCAGATAATTTTTTTTATTTTTTGTAGAGACAGGGGTCTCACTATGTTGTCCAGTCTGGTCTCAAACTCCCGGACTCAAGCAATCCTCCCGCCTCAGCCTCCCCGAAGCACTGGGATTTACAGGCATGAGCCACTGTGCCCAGCCTAGGGAAATGTATTTAAAATGTTCCATACAGGCCCAGCTCAGGGCAAGCTGTTGATCAAGATTATTAGTTACTATCAGTGTTAATCTTATCCTGAAAGTTTCTATTCATTTATTTACTCTTTTTTCCTAAAACAAACAAAAAATTAACTTTAAATGTTCATAGTGCTTTGTGAAACCATGGGCTTCCACTGCTAAGGAACACAGCCGAGGCTAGGGGTCCGAGTGCAGGGGTCCTCCTCCAAAAGCCTCGACCTGCCTGCCCTTCCCCGGCAGCTCCAAGCCCACCCAGAGACGAAGTATGGCAGCCACAGTGTGTTACCTATTACACTTTCTATGGAAGCCTGAGCAGGAAGGAAAGACAGAGCGCTTATTTCTGATCTGACTCCTGCATGTCTTGCCACTGACAAAACAGCCTAATTTATGGGCAGCAACTCTCAGACAAGTGATATTTTACATGCTAAGAAAGAACAGGACCAAGTAGAATGGAACATCCTTCCCAGGGCCCAGAGAAACCCCCACCCATCCAGCTTCAGTCCCTGAGGCCTGGCTGAGCCTCAGCTTTGCAACCCCCAGTGATGGGTTCAGCCTGGCCCAGTCCCCTCCCTGAGAACCACTTCCCTACCCACAAGAGGGCCCTCCCAGGCCAAACCAATTAGACCAGGATGGTCACCTGATTCTCCTAGGAAATCAGGACCCTGAGATACCAGTCTCTGCTGGTCAGCCAAACTGAGCCATTGTACAATCCTTACGTAACATGAAAATATCTGTGATTTCTACTGGTGACAAAGTCACAGGTACTGTTAATGTTACTGTGATTCATTGTCTATATTAATAAATGAGAAAAATGCTAAATTTCAGTTAAAAGTTACTGAAAATAAAAAATTTTTTCCCCATCCAGATTGATCAATGCCCTAGTCAAGAACTGCTATTCTAGGCACTGAGGACATGAAATGAGCAGGCACATAGGTCCCTGCTCCCACAGAATTTATACTCTTGTGAGTCAGAAAATGCACGTGACAAAGAAGACAATTTCAGATACTAATAAATGCCTTGAAGAAATAAAATAGGGTGGACGATGACATGTGCCAGCATGGTCAAGGAAACACTCTCTGAGAATGCAATATTTGAGCCATAAAAACCAGTGGGCCTGTTTTTTGCAGAAAGAACAGAGTGCAAAGACCTTGAGATGCACATGAGCTTAGCAGCTTTATGATGGAGGCAGAAGGCCATGGCTGGACTAGTCAGCCGGAAGCAGTGCACAGACAGGCTGGGGCCAGAGCAGGAAGGGCCCCGCAGGCCGTGGTGGGGAGTTGGGGTTTTATTCGAAGTACACTGGAACCCTGTAGCACATTAGAGGGTTCTGAGCAGGGGAGTGACATGATCTGATCTGCACTGGGTTTTGTTTTGTTTTATTTTGAGATAGAGTCTAACTCTGTCACCTGGGCTAAAGTACTGTGCCGTCATCCGAGCTTACTACAACCTCAAACTCCTGGGCTCAAGCGATCCTCCTGCCTCAGCCTACTGAGTAGCTGGGACTACAGATGCACACTACCACATGTGGCTAATTTTTTCTATTTTTAATAGGGATGGGGTCTCACTCTTGCTCAGGCTGGTCTCGAACTCTTGATCTCAAGTAATCCTTCCACCTTGGCGTCTTAGAGTGCTAGGGTTCCAGGTGTGAGCCACCGCATCCGGCCATGCATTGTTTTTAAGGTCACTTTGGGTACTATGTGGAGAACCGCACTGGAGAGGCCAAAAACACCAGCAGTAAAGCCAGTTAGGAGGTGAGCGATGGCAACAGCTTGGACTGCTGGCCACGGGGAGAAGGAAGTGGATTTGGCAGGTGTTTTGGAAGTAAAACAGATAAGACTTGCTGATGGACTGCATGCAGGGGGAGAAGAAGTAAAGAGAAACCAAGGCTGGCTCCTAAGTTTGGGGCTGCTGTGAATGGGTAGAGGGGGGCCTAACAGTGGTGCTGCTCAGTGATCCAATCGTTCATTCATTCAACACCCACCCACTGGGACTGCTGGTGGACCAATTCTGCGGGTTCGGGGTTGAAGAAGACACAGCCTTGCCCTCAGGGTCCTGCAGAGTAGTGGCAGGAGAAAATCGAGTGAGGAGCTACTTACAAGACATGTGCTGTAACAGATGGTAGGTTCACTGGAGCACAAAGAAGGGCGTGACCCTTTGGCCCTTGGGGGTCAAAGAAGACGACACTGAGAAGAGCCATTACGCAGGGTCTTAAAGATGAGTGGGCGCACTCCAAGTCAAGGACAGGCAGAGTGGGGAGGACACACGTGGACGGAGGCCCGTGGGAATGGGTGGGACACTGGCATGCTGAGGCACGAGCAGGTGTCCCCTCCCACCTTCCCGGCCCTGTGTCCATCACAGATGAACAGGGCGCTGGGACACAGCAGCAAATTAGACAGGC